TGTTATGCCAACACAATCAAGCGCAGCTATTCCGCTGCAATTCACTTGATCATGTGGTTGTTGGTTTTGTTGGTTTGTGCTAATAATTCTATTTTTAGAATGCTTAACTTTTAGGTGTGCTCGTCCTTAAGTTATTTGTTTTTTGTTATTTTTTGGCCTTTTAACAATTATATTCAACAATTTTATAATGAGCTCGAGGCCATTTTTTAAATGAAAATTTATTGTGGAAAAGCAACAATAATTTGAAAAAATGGTAGAAGTGATAGCTATTTCGGAAATCACCACATTTCCTCATCAGACTTCTTTCAGTAGGATTCGAACCGACGATCCCACTGACTCAGCCAGTTGCCTATGCACCGTGCTAAGACGCCTTGTAAATTATCGTTTGCTTATTTCCACTATTTTCATTTTTGTTATGCCAACACAATCAAGCGCAGCTATTCCGCTGCAATTCACTTGATCATGTGGTTGTTGGTTTTGTTGGTTTGTGCTAATAATTCTATTTTTAGAATGCTTAACTTTTAGGTGTGCTCGTCCTTAAGTTATTTGTTTTTTGTTATTTTTTGGCCTTTTAACAATTATATTCAACAATTTTATAATGAGCTCGAGGCCATTTTTTAAATGAAAATTTATTGTGGAAAAGCAACAATAATTTGAAAAAATGGTAGAAGTGATAGCTATTTCGGAAATCACCACATTTCCTCATCAGACTTCTTTCAGTAGGATTCGAACCGACGATCCCACTGACTCAGCCAGTTGCCTATGCACCGTGCTAAGACGCCTTGTAAATTATCGTTTGCTTATTTCCACTATTTTCATTTTTGTTATGCCAACACAATCAAGCGCAGCTATTCCGCTGCAATTCACTTGATCATGTGGTTGTTGGTTTTGTTGGTTTGTGCTAATAATTCTATTTTTAGAATGCTTAACTTTTAGGTGTGCTCGTCCTTAAGTTATTTGTTTTTTGTTATTTTTTGGCCTTTTAACAATTATATTCAACAATTTTATAATGAGCTCGAGGCCATTTTTTAAATGAAAATTTATTGTGGAAAAGCAACAATAATTTGAAAAAATGGTAGAAGTGATAGCTATTTCGGAAATCACCACATTTCCTCATCAGACTTCTTTCAGTAGGATTCGAACCGACGATCCCACTGACTCAGCCAGTTGCCTATGCACCGTGCTAAGACGCCTTGTAAATTATCGTTTGCTTATTTCCACTATTTTCATTTTTGTTATGCCAACACAATCAAGCGCAGCTATTCCGCTGCAATTCACTTGATCATGTGGTTGTTGGTTTTGTTGGTTTGTGCTAATAATTCTATTTTTAGAATGCTTAACTTTTAGGTGTGCTCGTCCTTAAGTTATTTGTTTTTTGTTATTTTTTGGCCTTTTAACAATTATATTCAACAATTTTATAATGAGCTCGAGGCCATTTTTTAAATGAAAATTTATTGTTGAAAAGCAACAATAATTTGAAAAAATGATAGAGGTGATAGCTATTTCGGAAATCACAACATTTCCTCATCAGACTTCTTTCAGTAGG